CCCGCCTCCGGACGGCCTCTCCAACCGGAAGGCCTGGCCAAAGCACTACTTCTGACTCGACCCGTGTCTCCGATCGGGGGATGTGCCAAACCCCTGCTCACGGCTCTTCTCCGACTGGCACGATCAGAGCCGACTGGGACCATCCGACCGGAACGCCCGCTCGGAAAGGACTAGGGAACGAACAGAGAAATCAAGGCAGGGCGCACAAGTCAAATTACGATACTAGGGACCGTACCCTGTACACCTGCAGAAAAAGTACTCTGCAACCTCCCTGGCACAACAGAGCCCAAACAGTGTTGTAAGCGCCGATATTTTCCCTACAGTATTGTGGGCGCCATTAACTCCTATACAGTAAGGCTCCCCCCACATGCCTCTGGGCATCAACAGTGTTGTGGGCGTCGACATTTACCGTACCGGGTGAACATGGTGAAACTCCTCACATGCCTCTAGGCATCAACAGTATAGCATGTACCGACATCTGCCATACCCAAACAAGACGACGCAACCTCCCACGTGCATCTGACATCCAACAGTGTTGTGGGCGCCTACCATCATCCTGTACCCGCCGGCGTGGGCAACAAGGCTTAAAAGCATACGTACTCTCTCTCTTTCACTTGTAAGGCCATCTCCTTCATCTATAAAAGGGGATGCACTCTCTCCCAACAGACAGGTGGATTCCAGTCATTTTAAATTCATTAGATCGATCAAGTTCACTAGCACACAACAGCAGAACCACCAGGTTCAAACCTCAAGCACACGCTCGAACACTTAGCTCACAGCGGAGCTCTTGTCACTCTCGGCCCTTCCGACCGGAGTCCGATCGGACCTCTTGTACCCCCTATCTTTCTCCTTCTCGTTTGTAACCCCACTACAAACTTCGAGCACCTGGGCTCAGGAATAAAGTCACCGACCAACTCAAACTAGACTTAGGACACGTTGCCTGAACCAGTATAAACCCTGTGTCACTGAGTGCTAGGCCACCTCCGATCAGAACTTATGACAAAACTACAAATATTTACTTGTTGGTCACTTTCTGCATCGACAGTTGGCGTCGTTCGTGGGGAAGACGCTATACGTTCAACACTTTTTGGTCATCGGATGGCCCACTTTTCTGCCACCTTCGTCATGGTGGGCTCAAGCGATACGACTCGCTTTGACTCACTGGTGTTTTCCGGACTCCCACCGGTTGGGATGTGGGTTCCACCCGTCTTCGAGCCGTCCTAGGACTTCCTCTTCGAAAGCCTGGACTTCGTCGCCGATCGGCTCGGCGTACTACACCTCCGCGAGGAGACTCTCGTTCCGTCACTCATCGGAGGGGCGCCCTCCATCGGCTCCGGAACGCACGACGACTTCAACAATGATGCATCTGTGCTTCATTTCGAGCAAACTCTCTGCTCAAACCCCGCTGTGAGTAATATGCATACTGTTATTTACTTTCTATTTACTATCTCCCGCCGATTATCCAGAGGGACCGTATTGACTGCATCACGGACACTGTACGATCGGTTCCCCTACGACCTCGCGTCCCCCGTGAACGCGTGCGCCGGCTTGCCCTGGCCGCGTGGGCCGGCTTGCTGGGCCGCTCGCGCCCGTGCGCTGGGCCAGCCGATCGCCGCCGTGCCTAGGCCGTTCGCGCACGCACGCTGGGCCGGCCTTGTGTCGCCCACGCCTGGGCCACGCGCTGTGCGCCTGCGGGCCGAGCCGGCTCGCCGGTCGTGGGCCACGCTGAGGTCGCGCCCGCCGTGGGCCATGTGGGCCACGGTGTTCTTTTCTTTTTCCAAGGAATTAGTGAAGATTTCCTAATATAAATTCTGAGCTAATTTTGTTATTTAAATATAAAATCATTTAGGAGTCCAAAAACTATGGAACAAATTTCATTGAGTTCCTAAAATCATGATCTATCTATTAGCGTAATTGGTTCATCTAGTTGGTGCTATTTTTAGGGTTGCTCTAATTATTTTAAAATGTTTAATATTGTTAAAATGTGAACTTGTGGGAAATTTTGTCGGGAAATGGTGATAGTGTTGACCCTAAAAATTTTACAGTAAATTACTAATATTATTAGCTGCTCAATATAATTTTTGTAGCACCAGAATAATTAGTTTGCTAGATAGATAAGGATGCCCTATTTTGAATAAAGATTAAATCGATAGAATGAAATAAAGAAACACCTTGTAATTGTATAACTAAAACACTTGTTGAGAGATGACACCTTTCTCAACGATGTTGATACGTAGATTAGTACGTTAGTCATTAGAGCTAGCTTGTTAGTTCAAAGTATGTACTCTATTTTAAGAGTTATTGTTGCCTTGTTAATTATTTGTTGCATCATTTGCATCAATGCATATCAAATAGGTACGATGATAGATCAACGGATCAATTGAAGGATGATTTGAAATTTGAAGATGGTGTAATGGTATTCTCTTTAGGAGATGATGCGATGGGCTTTCTATTCAGTTGATGGTGGATGATCTGAAGATGCAAATACTAACCTTTTAGTATATATCTTACCCAGGCAAGCCCCGATGCATAACGCATATTTTTCTACACTTTAAATTATATTTGTGCATTAAGTTTCAAGGAGTTAAATGAAACCCACTTACATATATATATATCTTTATCATATGAGTCTTACTAGTATGACATGATCGTATATATTGCTATGCTACAGGACTCCGGTAGAAGTCGAGTGATTGCCTGTCACTCGCGAGAGATAGGAAATATATTACTGTTGTTACTATATTATTATCACTTAGAATATATAAATGTTGAAAGGAAAAATGGAGATCGGGCAGGGATATGGTTTGGGTATTGGTGGGTGTAAGAGGTTGTGTCCTGCTGCCAATGAAGCATAACTTGGTTACACTGTTTTCCTGTTTGTGTCAGTTAAGCATCGGCCATTGCATTGGACTATAGGCAAGTCACAGATTTATTATTTCGAGTACATACTTAGGTATGGGCGTAGGAAAGACTTGTTACTCTCTTGTCATGGATTCTGGCTCTTTCCGGACCGACTTTTCAGGGTGGTTTTTAGATTGGAGGTTCTAGCACCGCACTGAGTCCAGAACTCAGGGGTAGGAGCTTGGAGTCCAAGTTTGTACGGGAACCTAGACCCCGTGACAGGAGGGTAGTGGGTTGGTCCTATTTGTGCCTTGGGTACAAGCGGGGCGTGTGTTTTGGGGTACCCAGCTGGGCTCATTGATTCGCGAATCGCCGCTGTGTCGGTATGACTTGTCTACAATCTAGCACCGTAGTAAGAACTGGAAGATGAAAGATGGCAAAATGATTCTAATTGCTTACCACCTGCTTGAAAGTAGCACATATGCTTACATAGAATGGTTGGTTAATGAACTAATGTTGACTGCTAATAAAATTAAATATAAGGACGCACATTTAGTAATGCTCCTGTAGATGCAATAAACTCATAAGCCAGATAGCCTTGCATATCCTTAGAGTCTTTTCTGTCCTCCTGTCGGGTAAGTCTTGCTGAGTATAATTGAGTACTTAGGGTTTTATTTTCCCCTGTTGCAGGTGACAGGTGGATGCTAAAGTTGACTCTTGTGTGTGGATTCCTCCTGGTGGGTTCAGAGATGATTCCTTTACGCTGCGATCATAGTCTTTGTTTATAACTCTCAATAAATGTTTTTATAAATAGAAGTTATATAATCTGTTGTCATAGCTTATATACCAATGCTTCATCATGCCATGAATAGATATTTATTTCCGCTGTAATTTTGATCACATGTTTATATTTCGCTGTTAAATTAAATTGTTCATAACTCTGATAACATGATCATATTCTGCTATTATCAACAGTAAATGTTATTCTCTGATGTTGCATAAAAAGTGAAGGTAGAAATGGTTAAGAATGATGTAAGCTTTATTCTCTCATTTGTGATCCTGATGAAAAATGTGGATTTTCTGGTTCTTCCTTGGGGTGTGCTCGACGGAACTGCGTAATTTGGTGCCCTCCCTTGAGTACTTAGTGTCTAATGGAAGACAAGTACTCCTGGGAGGCATTAGATTAGACGGTTCTGCCACAATATACATAGTGTATGCATGACAAAGGATTTAAGCATGTAAATGCAAACCTAGACATGAAAAGAAACTAGATGCTAATTAAAATTGTAAAAAATTAAATCTAGTTACCTAACATGGGAATGATAATTTAGGTTCATAGTATTCACTAACCCACTTGGTAATTGACATGATCCAATGTGATGCACCCCATGAAATGCACCCATACTTTGTCAAGTCTCCAAATTCTTCGAAGTCCATCGGACTTCTCACTTTCCTTTCGAGATCCAAACCTTCTGGGTGCTCTTAATGTTGAAAATGATCTCCTTTGGCATCCAAATGTGTTTGGCCCCATTGTTGGCTTGCTTGTTCACTTTAATGGCCACCACCTTGCCATTTTTCTTCTTCTTCAAGAGATAAGGTGTGGAAGCCTTTTTGCCCACCTTGATGATGTATGTGTTGGAGAGCTTGCTTGTTTCCTTTTTGTTTTTCTCTTTCTTCTTAGCATCACATTATCAAATTATAAACTAATTAGGTTTAAAAAATTCATCTCGCAAATTAGTCATAATCTGTGTAATTAGTTATTTTTAGTCTATATTTAATACTTTATACATATTTCTAAACATTCGATAGGATAGGGACTAAACTTTAGAGGAGGAACTAAACTAAGCCTAAAATTGCAACTTGCAATTGCAAGCAGTTTTTGGTTGGGCTGACCGGTCAGCCAGATTGGGCTTGGCCCATACAGAACCCAGACTATTGAAGTAGCCCAAACACAAGAAACACGCTCCATTACACTGACAACGGCGGCCTCACGAAAGCTTAGCGCCCTAGTCCCACCTGTCGGCTGCTGTAGCAAGCAAACTGACATCACCGGCATCTCCTAGACGCCGTCCCCAACCTCTCCGTCCCGCGCCGCCGCCGCCCGTCACTGTGCTCGCGATCTCGCCGGCGGCCCCAGAGGACTTGTCGCGTGCTCGGCCATGGCATCGCCACCGCCGGCCCTCGAGATCCTAGGTATCCTCACACATCCCCTCTCTCTCCTCGCCGTGTTTGTTTGCCCCATAATATCTCGCGTTTGAACACCGCCCGTCTGACGGAATGCGCCAACCGCGCAGTTCGCGAGCCCGACGGCTTCACGGTGTGGTCCGGCCCCCCATACCCGCCGGGCACCACCAGCCCGCCGCAGAGACTCCCCAAGACGGCGTGCGGCGCCACCTCTTTCTCCACTGACGGTGCCCGCCTCCTCGCGACGGTGGCATCGGCCTCGGCCACCGTCTACGACTGCCGCACACTCGCCGTCGTCAAGTGCTTCGAGCTCCCGGGTCTCCTCGCCGCCGCGCTGTCGCCCACGGGGGCCTATCTGCAGACCTTCCAGAAGTCATCCTCGCCGCAGGAGAAGAATGTCACGGTCTGGCACGTTGACACAGCTGCTGCTCTCTACCAGCACTACCAGAAGAGCATGTCTAAGGCCACCTGGTACGTGTTGCTTGGGCTCTCGTGACACTGATATATTATGCTGCCTGTACTCTTTTTGCTTCATTATGCTTGTAGAGATGTTAATATGTAGGTACATTTTGTAGCATTTAGCGTCTTATTATTCCTGATTTATCGGATGAACATTTTATGGGAGATAGTGGCAGACACTCGCTTGTTAACTACATCCTGCACATTTGCTATTGCAATATTTCGTTAAGTCACTGATGTCATATGGTAGCTATGTTTGAATTCCTGCACAGTTGTATACACATCTATCACTGAGGTTCCTATCAAGCTGGATAATGCTTCTTTTGGGAGACTGGCAAAGAAACAAAACTGTTACTCGATTTTAAAGATATCTCCTAGCACCCGATCCTTAGTGATTAGATTGGCTACTGATTAAGCTTTTTATCCTGGTTCCTGGATTTGAGATTCTAACACTACCTTCTGCCACCATTCTATGTGGATTCTCCATTAGTTGCACACATGAGATTAGGCAAAAAAGAAACCTGAGACAGTATAGGATGAAGTATCTATAAATTCGATTTAGGCTCAATTTGCGTAAGCATGAGACACATTTGAGTTCTTTTGATGCATGATATGTTGATTGAACCCGCAGGCCAATGGTTCAGTTTTCTGCGGATGAATTGGTCGCTTGTCGGATGATGCCTAATGAGATACAATTCTTTGATCCAAAAGATTTTGCAAAAGGGATTTTGTATAGGATAAGAATGCCTGGCATAGCTACGATGCAGCTAGCAACTGCACCAGGATCTCATGTTGCTGGATTCGTCCCAGAGGCTAAGGTCTGATTTGTTACATTTTATTTAGGTAATTAGACTGTGTTTCTGCAAACTAGTTTCACAAGGTTACTGATCTATCTCTCTCCGGTTTCGAGTAGGGTGTTCCAGCTAGTGTTCAGATATTTTCTTGCAACAAGGACGCACAAAATCAAGTTGTTGCTCGCAGGAGCTTTTTTCGTTGTTCCACTGTTCAATTACACTGGAACAAAGGGTCCACTGGGCTTCTAGTTCTTGCTCAAGCCGACGTGGATAAAACCAACCAGAGTTACTATGGTGAAACCAAGTTGAACTACTTGACAACTGACAGGGCCTTTGAAGGAATTGTTCCACTTAGTAAGTTCTTAGGTTTTGACAATATTTATCCTTTAATTTCTGGTATCTTACCCTATCATGTATTGGCAGAAAAAGATGGGCCAGTCCATGATGTGCAGTGGTCTTCCTCTGGCTCTGAATTTGCTGTGGTTTATGGATGTATCCTTATATTTACTGTCTTCATATGCAATGTAGAATTTCAGTGTTTAACCTTTTATGTACCATTTGTCCTTTTTAAGTGCTCCTTAACCGTATCTCAGTTATGCCGGCCAAGGCAACAATATTCAACAAGAAGTGCAACCCTCTTGTTGAGCTTGGTGAAGGACCTTACAATACGATAAGATGGAACCCCAAAGGACGATGTATCCTCTAGAATAATTTGATCAGTCAGTCTTGTGTGAAAATGTGGTGGGCATATCTAGCTGTTTCTATCTACGAAAGTTGGGCTAAGCCATGCTCCCTCTGTTCTTTTCATAGGGCGTATTAGGATCTGGATAACTCTTTACAAGCATTCTTTAACTACTAATTTTTATTATGAAAAGCTAGCGCTACAAAAATAACATTATTTTAAAGATGTCAAATACACATCTATTGATATAACTTTTGCACACTAAGTGTGCATATAATTGGACTAATTGTTAGTTGCAGTTTAAGAAATTTGACCTTTTCAGATCCTAATACTCAGTATAATAAGAAACGGAGGGAGTATATACATCTTATGAAACCTGTTGCTTTTACAATATCCTTGACCACATTTTCTCGACCAGTCGTTGTATTAGCAGGATTTGGTAATTTGCCTGGTGATATGGTATATTTCTACACCAAGCAATTTTTCAGCATTATTCTTCACCCTGAAAATTTATAATATTGCCTATTTCATCTGCTTAACTCTTAAGTTTGGTATAGAAAAAACAAAGATAAACTACAAAAGCAAACATGCCTTAATACCTGTAAGCATCTACAAATAGTTGCATTGTAGCTCACATGGTATTTTCTGCCCAGGCGTTCTGGGATTATTCAGAAAAGAAATTGGTAGCAAAAACAAAGGCAGAATGTTCTGTCACAAGTGAATGGTCCCCTGATGGTTGTCATTTTATGACTGCTACAACAGCGCCGAGGCTCCAAATAGACAATTGGTATGTTTACTGTATTTGGCAATTGGCATATTAATGGACATAGTTAAATGCCCTTACTGAATGGAACTGTTGTTGCAGTATAAAAATATTTGACCACAACGGATCTCTGCAGTTTAAGAAGATGTTTGAAAGGCTGTATCAGGTATACCCTCAACATAACTTCTTATTTTTTATCTTGGTGCAAGCGGTAGAGTCTTACCGCCTGTGACCGGAAGGTCCCGGGTTCGAGTCGCGGTCTCCTCGCATTGCACAGGCGAGGGTAAGGCTTGCCACCGACACCCTTCCCCAGACCCCGCACAGAGCGGGAGCTCTCTGCACTGGGTACGCCATTTTTCTGTTCCTAAACTGTAGTAACATGCTGAAATTTATAGATAAATATGCACTCTCACTCTATATTTCTGATTATTATTTTTGAATCATTCAGGCTGATTGGAAACCTGAAGTACCTGAAAGATTCGGTGACATTGCTTACCTGACAACATCCTTGAGTACCTTAAAGATTGAAGAAACAAAAAAACAAGGTTCTGGTATTCTCATAGATTCCAAGTCAATCTGTTCTGATCAATTGATATCTTCCCTTGACTTCCTTCTATAGTTTCAGCACAAGGTTCCAAGTCAGCACAAACATCAAGCAAGGCCCCTGCAAATACAGCACCGAAACCTACAGCATACCGCCCACCTCATGCTAAGGGTTCTGCAGAACTTCAGGACAAGGTACAAGCTTCTATCTAATAACACCACCATGGTTCCGTTTCAGAACTGGGGTGTTTGGTCTTTGGTTGGAATGGAATGTGAAACTGAATGATTTGGTCTATTACCATGCAATTGCTCCTCGTCATGGTGCCGCAACAACAACAAAGCCTGTTAGTCCTCCAAGCAAGTTTGGCTAGATCTCCATATGAGTGGTTGGATTTTTTACGTTGGTTTGTCAGGCCTATCACCACCCTCCTTTACCTGGGATTGTGGCCGGCTATGCTGAAAGTGAAAGTTGAAACAACACAGGCTAGATCTTGTCAGTGTCAATAGAATAAAAGAGGAATGTGTCTCATACTTAATAAATCATATATGCCAGCGTTTACCTGGGATTGTAGTTTGCTGTGCTCAGATAATTCTATTGGTGGTTGTTCCAGCTCGTTCGAGAAAATTCTCATTGTTTGGCAGTATAAGAATATTGACTTATCATGTTTTGGTGCATTGCAGCTCTTTGGTGGACTAGCTCCTGCAGGGTGAGTTTCACATTCTTCATTCACCTTTTCTTATGCCTTTTTTTTGCATCGACAGATAACCCACTGACCTTAACAATGTAACAGGGGGGAGATGAGCAAAAATGCATTGCGAAACAAGAAGCGCAGAGAGAAACAGAAGGAAAAGAAAGCTGCTGAAGCGTCAGGCTCTCCTGCTGATGATGAAAGTTGATCTGTGCTGGATTTGTTTCAGCATTTCCAACCACCGAATATAACAGACAGTGACAAATGATTTCTTTCAATCTGGTGAAACGGCCATGCACCAATTCACGTTTACACTGTATGAAACTCTTCATAGTTTGGTGCTGACAGTCGGTTATTTTTTCAGTGTTATACTGAATTTGTATAACCACATCGAAGAAACAGAAAAGTGAGGCAATTTCATATTTTCATGTGCTCTCTTGTTCTGTCGATGGATTCATGATCATTGTGCTAGCAATGTCGCTATTGAAAGGACGATGGTTTCATGGGCATGATAGTTCTTGCAGAATTTCCTACAAAACATTATCGTACACTGTTGCATTTGCATGGTAAGTGTGACTTTGAAGTCCTAATGTCCTAATTCTAACAAAAAAAAAACGTAGGGCTGAGGCTTGTGGCAAGAGATCTGCAGTCCTCAACAAACATGCGCATAGAAAGAGTTAGTAAATAATCCTTCACCCCTCGCTACACATTTCGTGTCACAGTTGAGAGTTTTGATCCATCAGATGCACAAGCTATCACCGTCTGATTGGCAGGTTACAGTCTCAAACACGGTCCCATCAACTACAAAATTGCCAAGAATTCACTCAATTTCTTCATACTTTTAACAAGCCAGAGACATACCCGATAAAGAACAAAAAAAAAAAAAAAATCAATGGTCCAGGCGACCTTACTCCGCTGCACTAGCCCACGTTCCTATTATGCATTCTGCAATGGGTCACAAAAAGGAGGGGGGGGATGATACCCCATCAACTAAGACTCCTGAGCATGGGGACGCCAGTTTCCCCTGCAAAGCTCCTGCATACGATGCACAAATTTCTGAGGCTGTTGCCACCATGTAGGTTTTGACACAGCTGATCTCTGGTATTGGTCCTCTTCTGAGCCTTCCTTCTGCATGAAGCTCTCAGAGAAATTGTGCCACTTTTGCATGGCACGCTTCAGTCGGGCAGTCCTCTTACCAGTGACGAGATATCTGGTGTAGTCCCTGGCAAGACGGTAAAGCTCCTCCCCTCTGATTATGTGGATGTACTGCACCATTAGAAAAAATACAGTGATTTAGCAGCCATCCTGGAGGGTTAATGCTTGTCGCTATGATAAACACAGATGCATACATTTGGATTTCGTAAGATCTGGCTATAACAAAATTGTAAAGGTAATTCATATCATAAAGGGACTATAATCATTTTGTACCTAAGTGTCACATGTACAACAACAACAACAACAAAGCCTTTAAGTCCCAAACAAGTTGGAGTAGGCTAGAGTTGAAACCCAGCAGAAGCAACCTAAGTGTCACATGTACAAGCAAAAAAACCTAAGAGCATGAAGTTTATTGATACCATTCTGTCTTTTTCATAAGCAATGGTGTTTCAGCAGTCTATGATGCCCAGTGCTAACTTATCAAATAAGTATTCCAGGAAATGCAGAAGAAACAAGAACAAAACCATTACCACAAGTATGAAAGCAACAGTGGCTAAGATAACTTGGACTACTTCATCCAATGTTTCCTTGAACGATTCATCATCGGGGCCACCAGAACCACCACTGCCCCCACGGCGATTCCCATTCCCTCCGCCTCCACCAGACACTTGTTCTCTCAGTTTAGCCACCTGCTCCTTCAGCAAGTCTTGTATGGGCCGGGGCTTTTTTGCATCAGCCATAGCTTTTTTCAAAGATTCCATCAAAGGCTGCAAAAAAGCGATATACAAGATCACCAACCTATTAAGAAATGTAAATGCACTCTGCTAGCAGAACCAAATGTATGTAAATGTTTTTGGGGATTGAGACTTTTCCTATATATTTAGTTTCTTGACCAAGCCAGCTATTCCTAACATGTACCCTTGATCTGTGTTTAAATTCAATATGGTAGCCTAACATACTCCCTCCATTTTAGGTTTGTCCTAAGTCAAACATTCCTAACTTTGACCAACAACTTAAAAAATATAGTTTTAAATAGTTGAGAATAACCCAGCAGATTATTATGACTTCCAAAAACAACAGAAGTAATCCACCTAAAGGAGTATGACAAAATTCTGAAGTGAGACAAGAGTAAGTTTACTTTGATCCACAAAATATATCATACACTAGTTCAATTTAACAAATATCTAAGTGCACAGTATGGGCGTATGGCACATGCAAATAAAAATATCACTCTAGCCATGTTTTACTTATCAAGTGCACTGGTGGCATTCATAAATTTTGGCACCGACAAAACATCAACTTTAAGGTACCAAAACTGGCCTTGGACAAAACCTATGCGCGACCAAAATTTTGGTAATTGTCAGTGAATCCACGGTAACAATATCATTTGACACGTATTCAACACAGCCCTGGAATCATATCAAGAAAACAACACAGCTATGCATTTTTGCATGATAAATTTATAAGAAATATCAAGCATAAAAGGAAGGCCTTAGAAGCTACTTACATCATCAGCAGTGCCAGGGTTTCCCTTTCCACTTAAGGCACATACAGGAGTAAGCCTTTTGTGGCTAGCAGCAATGAGAACTAGCCTTGGGTACACCTTCTGTTGCAGCTTGTGGAATCCGAGAGCATGTGAATATAATGGATACTGACATGTGCTCCCAAGGCCTGCTATAGGTTTGTTCACAATGATCCTACTGTGAGGCTTGCAAGTAGTGGCTTGGAAGTAGCTCATCGTTTCCTACTTCTTGAATAGTTAACTAGAACCAAATCTGCAGATTCACATTAAATGTAAGAATTTCAGAAATTGCGAGGAAAATGCCAATGCCTCAAAGGCAGTATAAAAATAGATAACAACAGGATCTAATGCATATGATGTGGGTTGTGTGTTTCTGTGTTTGTGGGGGTGGGGACAATGTTTTTTTTTTTAAACCCAACTAGTTGGCCAAGATTTGGATAGCTTTCCTTCTTAATAGAATTTCAATCAACTCTCTCTCTTTCAGTTATATAACTAAGAATATGCATGATCCAGTTTGGTTTTCTACCTCCCTCAAAATGCAAAGAAAATGAAAAAAAAAACAATTCATGCCTCGGAACATAAAGTTTCCTGAGAATCTGTTGGTAAGCTGACCAATAACCAGATTAAATGCAATGGAGCCAACCTTAGCAGAAACCATATGAACTTCAATTCTTCATGTTCATGCGCTACCGGTATGAGGGAACCCCGTTCTGTATGGCAGATCCTTATTGACACTCAAACCAAAAATAGAGACAGTGTACGCAACCATTGACATGATGACACTACAAAAAACGTCAAGGAAATCTACATGATAACCTAAATAAAACAACAAAATTGAAAAGAGGAAATGGAAGCATCACAACTAACTTAAGGTGAAAAAATACCACATCTCACATTCCAAATAGGAATGACATGAGTAAAAAGTGGCATAAGACTACCTGCAAAGGGAATAGCATGTGACATGGGTTCGGTTGAACCCCCAATATGCCTAAAACAATCTTCACCTGCCTTGGTTCCAATGCCTATGGGATCAACTTAGATCAATTTTACATGCCCTTAAAAATTGGCAACTAGCAAACTTCAGCATGCCCGAGCACATTTTGGTTGGTTCATTCATTTCTCACAACGATTTCAGCAAATTTAAGGCAAAGAAAACGTTAGCCGGGAAGCCTTATTCTGCTTCTTAATTTGCCAGAAGTTGGTGACACAAACACCTCTTCTTCATTCTCTTATCTCACCTTGACTGATTACTGACTGCTCAGGGCAAATCAAACTCCAACGTTCACATGTAAAGCACAGTACATCAGAGGCGGGCCCAGTAGAGAACATGGGTGTACACATGTATACACCCAGTAATTTTTGGGAACAAAATCGAAGTCACCAGGCATAATTGAAATTAGATCATGTCCGAATATAAACAGGAAAAATAGACAAATAACTCAAGTTAGGGTTCGAGAACTCGGTTTCGCGCAGCAGGAAAGGAATGGAATGGAAGGGAAGGGAAGAGAAGGGGTCCGCATACTTGTTGGGTGCTCGTCGCCGGCGAAGGGACCGTCGAAGGAACAGGCGAACGCCTGGGTACCTGGCGTAGGGCGGCGCCGGTCGCCCAGTCGTCGCCGCGCGAGAGAGAGCGCGCGCGCACACGGGGTGAACGGGAGAAGATAAGGCTTAGGGTGAACGGGCTGCTTGGTTAGGTTCTGCAGAAGACAGAACTGATTGTCTGTTTAAAGTTTATTAAGTAAACTTTATATATTTTGTTTATTATTAATTAGAGTAATCAATAAGTACTTCCTCTGTCCGAAAACAATGCAATTCCAATCCTCACCGGTACATAAACATCTTTTTCACTACTTCAATTAAAAGGCATAGCTTCTGCCATTTCTTAAAAAAAAATCACTCCATCCAAAAAAATAAAATTTTAACACGGTATCAAGTTAAAGTGTCTCAAATTTAACTAATTATATATAAAAAATATAAATAGTTATGACATCAAATAAGGGTCTGGTTGGGTACAAATGGCTAGTAGTTAGTTGGGCTAAAAATTAACTCAAACTAGTTGAAGACTTGTCTAAAAAATTCACCCACATATTAGCCCTTTTGTCTTGATGGACTAAAGCTAATTTGAGCTAAAATTAGTTAGCTAAAAATTAACTCATGGATCAAACATGTCCTAAGTATTCTTAGATCTATCATGAGATATATTTTTATAATATACTTATTCGGTGTAAAAAATAGACACATAAACCAAATGCATCTAATCCTTTTCATGACTGAGGTAGTAGCGTATTTACATTTATCCTATGTCAACCAGCCTCATATTTGACTAAAATTATAGAAAAATAAATTAACTTCTACCACAAAAAAAGTTATGAAAATACATTCCATAATGTTTCTAATGGAGTTTATATGATATCCACAATATTGCTATTCTTTTTTTAATAAATTTAGTCAAATTTAAGATGGTTTGATTTATGATAAATGAAAATACACAAAGGGAATAGTCAAAATGCTATTTGCAAAACACTCTTTCC